CTTGCTGAGTTTCCTGCCGGTTCTTCTCAGTACAAGGTCTCCCGCCGTAGATTTGCGAACCGATGGCGTAGCTTTTCGACATTCACAAGTGCTTGTAACAGCCTAGACTGAACAAACGATATTGAATTTTGTTTTTTTTTATTAATTTTCTTGTGCGGAAACTTGGTTGGTGTCTTTATGATATTGTCCAATATTTTTGCGTGATAGGTCTGTACTGCCTAATATTTCTTATTGTGTTCTGTTGATCCCGCACCTGCGTGACAAAATTTCGGATGACTTTGGTACTAAATGCGCTAAAATTAGCGTACGAAATTTGTATTAGCAGTGTCGCCATGAATTAATAATAACTAGCAAACCAGTGAACAGCCGGACTTGTCTAATAGATAAGAGGTAATTTCACAAAATATGCAGAACACATCGCGGCTAAACTTCCAGGGCCCAAGTGGTGATACTTCACACTAGGTTAGGTTAGGTTAGTGTTGTGACCATACCGCGCGAGCCGAGCGAGCGAAGCGAGCTTGCCGCCGCAGCGGACGGCGAAGCGCCAGAAAAAAGCTTTTTTAAAAGATGAACTTTTTTTATGAAAGTTAATAAGTATTTCCGGCGACCGGAAATAGTGGGGGGGGGGGATCAATTTCCTCCCCGCACCCCTCCCCCGTCCCTCGCAAACCACAAAACGGGCGACTTATTTCTAAAAAAATACATAGATCGGCGCGTAGTTGAGCACTGTTATATATTGCATTTTACGGGCGAACGTCACCACGCCAGGGGGCCATTCGCCTAACTGGAATGCTTAGGAAAACGCTAACGCTTTCGATTTTATTTTGTTATTTCTGACCGCCGAAGGTTTTCAAATACCTCACGCTCATTTATTTTAATATTGTTATTTGCCAATGCAAAATAAAAAAAAAAAGAGCGCGAGACATTGGAAAACCTCATCATCATCAGCCTATTAATGTCCCCACTGCTGGGGCACAGGCACCTGATAACCTCAAGCGGCTAGAAATAACAAAATGAAATCGTAAGCGTTAGCGTTTTCCAAAGCATTCCGTTAGGCGAATGGCCCCCAGAAATCGGTTGTACGTGCGCAAAAAGATGTTTCACATCAAAATATATTTCATATCGTTAATTTCAGAAAAACGGAGTGTTGGAATCGCTGCCGATAGATTATCAGACAGTGCACACGGGTTGCTCCGTGACCGACCTGATCTACTTCCTAGTGACAGCTTCCGACGAGGAGTTCCGACGACAGAATCATCAGCGCCTAGTGGAACATTATTACAGCAGTCTGGCGCATGCGCTGCGCCGGTACCAACTCGACATTGAAGAGATCTACCCGAGGACACAGTTTGATGACGACTTGAAAGAGGTTGTAGTTAGAATGTAATGTGTCTTGTATAATGCGATTCAAATAAGAATAAGAAAGCCAATGATCCATCTGTCAAACGTCGCTTGTAAAGTACAGTTTGCAAAAAAATCTCGGTACACTTTTTTAACACTCTGCTAATTCTAGAATAAAAATCAAATATTTGTAAACAAACAATAACAAATATTGATTATTAATATTGGTTGATGTTTTCTTTCATTTATTGAGCTATGGCTATGGTTGTTAACCTAAATCGTCAACCAAATATCATTTTATGTTGCGTTCAGAAACTCGATTTAAAACTTTCGTTTACATATAGGTAGGATGCATGTTCGTATGTGACCTGCATGATTATTCATAACTACACAGGCGGTAATGCAGAGATGAGCGGAATTGAAGAGCTAGATTCTGATTAATGTTTTTTCTCACACAGTCATAATAAAAAAATATTATTACAAATCGTTTGTTTTTTCTCTCAATCTTAGTAAATTTATTTTATTAAAAAAAAATGATGTTTTTTCTCACTTAATCTAAGTAAATAAGTTTTATTAAATAGATTTTTTTTGCTCACTCTACCTAATTGGTTTGAATTGACAGCTATGACGTCAAAATATGGCGCCCAGTCGGTCCTATTCTTAGTTGAATCGCATTATATAGGGTTTTTGCTTTCTTGAACTATTTTCGTTCTCGAGGCAGGGGAAGATTCTTGAGGCCGAATTCTCGAATCATTTAAAGAAGATATTTGTAATTTTGTAATGTTTAATACTTGTAAAGGTTTGACATTCAGGGTTATCTACAATGCGAAGAGATGGCGCTGCCTCGCAGCTTAAAAGAAAGGCTAGAAATTCGATCCGCCCATCAGGGCCGCGGTAGCATAATGGTCAGTGCGTTCGCCCGGATAGCGAAGGGTGCGGGTTCGAGTCCCGTCTGCTACCGGGTCCGCGTGTATTTTTTCCTAGTTATATTTTCTTTAAGACATAATTTTTTTCAAATTCAAATTCATATAATTTTTATTGCGAATACAGGTTATTGTGTTGTGTTCAAGTATACAAATTATATTATGTTCAGCCATATTCTGTCTTGTTGACATGCAATGTTATTTCATTTAGTTCACTATTAATTACATTATTCTAACAATGTCAATTAAGTACTTATATTAATCTAAAAATAAATTATAATTTGATAAATGAGATGTCTAAGTCACATTTTGAAAGTAATAATACTAATAATAATAATGGATATATACAAAAACCTTACCATAATGTCAAATTAAATTATAGGTTAAATTACAAGATAGGTCATTTGAATAAAATAAAATAAAATAACAAAACAGGAATACAAATGGATTATAATATTATTCTAAAATTTATCCGTCATATATTTGTCAACTGTATAGTAAGCTTATCCCACAAGTAATTTCTTAACTCCTAATTTAAATGTTTGGATATTGGATATTTCTTTTAAGCATTCTGGTAATTTATTGTACAGTCGTGGTGCCATACCAAACATACTTTTATTGTAAAGGGCAGTCCTTCTGGCGGGAAAGCAAATATCGTTTTTATGTCTTATACTTCTAAGATGTTGAAACATGCTTATGTTTAAATCTAAAGAAAATATAACTAGAAAAAATTCCACGCGAACCAGTCAGCAGACGGGACTCGAACCCGCACCCTTCGCAATCCGGGCGAATGCACTGACCAATTATGCTACCGCGGCCCTCACGGCCTTCTTTCAAATGTTTAATACTTGTAAAAGTATTCATTTGACATTGTGGGTTTACCTATAATGCGAAGAGATGGCGCTGCCTTGCATAATTAATGTCGTTATCAAGTTTAGTATAAATATGTGTATTAGAAAATGTCATGTAGTTAGTTGTGTCAATATTCATGCACAGCTTATTAGAATTTAACCAAGTGATAATTTTACAAAGCTAGTCATTAATGTTATGTATTAAGCTATTGATTTCATTGCCGACAAAAATAGCTGTACTATCATCAGCAAATAGTATTAGCTTCATTTATTGATTTTGGGACATCATTTATGAAGGCTAAAAAGAACACAGGGCCCAATCCAGTTCCCTGAGGTATCATCATCATCATCATCATTATCAGCCTATTAATGTCCCCACTGCTGGGGCACAGGCCTTCCCTATGGATGGAATAGGGAGGTATACCTCGTTCGAAATACTGGATTTCAGATACATAATTTATTTCCTCTTTGCGCTTCATACACAATCGAGTGATCTGTGTTGACTGTCTTCTGTTGGTTAGGTATGATGCTATCAACTTAAGAACATTACCCCTCACACCATATTGCTCCAGTTTGTGAAGTAGTATATTATGTTCGACAAGGTCAAACGCTTTAGTAAGATCCATATATAAAGCACTTACTAGATGTTTTTTATCAATATTTTTAATGACAGTATCTAAAAATTCATAAATAGCTAAATTTATTGATTTACCAGCACGGAATCCCATTTGTTCGTCCACTAAAATATATTTTTCAAAAAAGTCATAGAGCCTAATATATATATTTTTTTCAAATACCTTAGCAAAAACTGATATCAGAGCTATGGGTTGATAGCAGGCCAAGTCCTCGATGTCCTTTTTTTTAAACAGAGGTTTTACTAAAGTAATTTTCAATTTTTCTGGAAATATCCCGTATTGAATGCATAAGTTAATAATATGACATAGTACAGGTGCAATTAAGTTACTTACATATTTTAGAACTTTTGTGCTGATTTCATCGTATCCGGTGCTATTTGTATTTTTTAACGACATAATAGTACATTTTATTTTATCAGGAGAAGTAGGTTTCATAAAAACTGATTTGTCATTACGCATGCAAGATGAGGTACTAGTTATATTATTATTACTAACATTATTGTCAATAGATAATTTCAATTGAGATTGATGTAAGAAAAAGTCATTAAATGTCTGTGCTATAATATTAGGGTCAGTTATTATTTTATTATCAATTTTTATTTGGGGTATGTCATTACGGGGTATTTTTTTCTTTTTGTCGTTAATTACAGACCAAGCTGCCTTACATTTATTTTTGACCGATGATATATAATAGTTGTTCTGCGATTTTTGAGTTTGTTTAATAATGCGGTTAAGCCTAGAGGAGTAAATTTTGAAATCGTTTTTATGTTTGTCTGTGCGTTTTTTTCTGTACATCCAGAGCATTGTACATTTCCGTTTTGAGCATATTTTGATACCTCTTGACATTTTGCTTATAATAAAAAGTAAAATAAAAACAAACTCTAAATAATTACTGAAGAATAGTTATTTATGATATTAGTGTGGTAAGTTGGAATAGTTGGCTGACATGATGATGATGATAAAGTTGGAATAGATGAATGTGACTTACCATGGTTACTAGTTTGTAAATACTAATCCGCAAGAACCTACAATACAATGTTTTAACACATTTTCGAGAAAACAGTATACATACATAATTTGAGTAATGAAGCAAACGTTTTCTTATAAAAAATTGGCGTGCGTTTGCAAATGGTGGTAGTAGTAATATATCTATAGCGATTGTCTGTCATCCTCTTCGAGTATTATTTTCGCGATTTAAACCTTGATGAACTGATCGGCCTTTTTATGTATGGTCCACTTTAGCTTTTAAGCGCAACGGTCCTCACATGTATGACCTTTGGATGTTGGTTGCAGATGATGCCCACGGCCATGCTGCTGGGCGCCATGATCCTGCCAGTGGTGTTGGTGGAGGAAGCCAGCGCGCCCAGGACGGACTCCACCACCACGGGGCTGGACAGCTTCGTGGTTGCGCCTACGCAGCTGTACGCACAGAGGCTCAACCAACTCGTCAGAGACCTCGTGCGATGGGATGTCATATAGATAATTTTTGTTATTATTTAGATCTATACCCTTAGCACGAACCAATATATAATACGTATCGTTTGCGAGTCCGAAATGTCATTGTCAAATGTGTACTATGCGATTCAAATAAGAATAGGAAAGCTTGAAAAGTAAGGTTTGCAAATAAATCTTGGAACACTTTTTTTAGCACTGAGCTAATCTTAGAATGAACACCAAATATTTGTAAACAAAAGAAGGGAATAACTCATATGTGACATACAGAAAATGAGTACTGGAAAAAGAAAATATAAGAACTTTAGTTTTATTATAAATACAGGTAATATAACGTTTTTATTTTAAATAAAGTTGTTTTAAAACCTACAATAATCGATATTTTAATTTATAAATTTTGACGACCTCCGTGGCCGAGTGGTTTGTACGCTGGGTTTCATGGTGTCGCCGACTCGAGAGGTCCCGGGTTCAAATCCCGGTGGGGGCAGATGTTTGCGTGATGAATACGAGCATTTGTACTCCAGTCATGGATGTTTAATATGTATTTCTATAAAAATATACTTATATATGTACAGTTTATGTATTCTATCCGTTACCCTAGTATCCCATAACACAAGCCTTATAGTGCTTACTTTGGGGCTAGGCTAATTGGTGTGAGTGTTGGAAATATTTATTTATTTATTTATTATTTTATAGCCAAAAGCAGCAGTGACGATGATGACTACTCCGTCGGTAGTGCAGAGATGAGCGGAATTAAAGTGTTAGATTCTGATTAATGTTTTTCCTCTTTCAGTCTGAATAAATAAAAGTTTATTAAATATCTGATATTTTTTCTCACTTAATCTTTGTGAATAAGTTTTAATAAAGAAAACCTTTTTTGCTCACTCTACCTAACTGGTTTGAATTGACAGCTATGACGTCACAGTATGGCGCCCAGTCGGTCCTATTTTTAGTTGAATCGCATTGTACTGATTTTTAGTTCTCGTTACGTACTTTGTGGCGCTGCTGTTCAAGTTTCCATACAAAATTTTACATTGACATTTAGCAATCGCAAACTATTCGAATTCGATAATGGTTCGTGCTAGGGGTACTGATTGTGGGCCCTATTTCAGCAAGTCGACGTAATATGTCATTGACATTATGGAACACTGTTACAATGACGGCTATATCGCGTATGAATCACACGTCACTCGCGCGATTCCCCACCCCTCTCTCCCTTACCTTAGTCGGCCGCTGTCGCGCGCTTCAACCACTTTAGTAGCCGCTTCTAGCTTCTCGTGGCGGCGTTTGTGGCTGTGGCGTGTGGCCCGTGTGCGGCGACACTTACTAGCCGATTTGCAGATGGATGTCATGTGTTTGTGAAAGTCCATTTTTTAGTGTCCAATATTAATTCCAAGTCCCGAATTTCAGTTACTCTATCCATAGGAGCGACAGATAAATTATAATTAACAATTTTAAGTTATAAACTTTAAGCGAAGCGGATAGTTATTCTACATTAGGTTTGACATTTTCAAATTTACGCCGTTTTAGGGTGAAGTACGTTCACTGTTTATAACTGTAAGCACTGTTTTTATTGACTTACACGATTTTAAATTTTCTGATATAAAATTGTTTCTTAGGTTTTCACGCACACCACTCAATTAATAAAACAAGTTTGAACTGTTTCAAGATGCACTGATTTATTTATTTATTGCTGAAACGTAAGTCAATAAATAATTTAGTGCATCTATACTGTTGAAACTTGTTTTTTTTTCTCATATAACTCAAAATTCACAGTGAACTATGTAGATCTACAGGGTGTTTGTAAGATGAGTGCAAAGCTTTAAAGGAAAGCTAACAGAGACCATTTAGAAACATTTGAGCCGTACCTGTCATAGACTAAGCCTGACCATTTTATTTTTAATAATTTTTAACAATTTAAAAGAAAAAAAACTAAGAGTACTCAGTTAGTTCCAAATAATGGCTAACTGAAATAATAAAGGAATTCTTTTTGATTTTATTTGATAAAACTTGATAAAAATGTGAAAGCAAATTATGTATATTTAAAACTATCGTAAATTTTTAAAATAGAATAAAGCTGTTTATCTTAGGTTTACAAAAAAAAAACATGGAGGGTGTTTTGTTTGTTCAAAGCTTTTTAAAAACATGCTCAGTTATTGTACTTTGTTTTGATATCGTTTAAGCAAATTGTTTAAAAATTGTTGAAACTAAGACTAGAAATCCTAATTGAGCAAGTTGTTTTTATGTTTAAGATGAATTAATTAAAAGAAAATTTCAACTGAAATCACTTATTTTTCGTGTTCTAAATGTTCGCTGCGATTTCTAATACACTCACGGGCCCGTTTTCTTACTTCCGTTGTCGTTATTTTCAACATCATCTTCTGTTTCATCGTTTGAAATGCTGCATTTATTCTTTCTATTAATTGTTCTTTTACGTTTATCTCCACATGATTGAACTAATTCCTTGGCCCGACCCCATACGACTTATACATTTTATTTTATCAAATAAAATCAAAAAGAATTCATTTGTTATTTCAGTTAGCCATTATTTGGAACTCACTGTGTACATTTAGGTTTTTTTCTTTAAAACTGTTAAAAAAATTTAAAAAATAAAATGGTCACACTTAGTCTATGACAAGTATAGCTCAAATGTTTCTAAATGGTCTCTGTTAGCTTTCCTTTAAAGCTTTGCACTCATCTTCCAAACACCCTGTATACCGTGCAATTGCTTTACTACTTTAAATTAATGTAAATAAGAGTCTAATTCACATATCTGAGATTAAAAAGTGTAATAAGTTGTTTAAGTTACTACTAAATAAGTTATTTAAGTTTCCATTCTAAGATTTATCCACATATTTGCTTGTTTGGATTATTTATGTCTGATCATTAACAAAGATTCAAAGGTATGGGTAATTTTGTCTCTAAATTAGTATTGATTTTATCAAATATAGAAATGTGATTACATTAATTAATAAGTATTAAGATGTATTTATTTTTTATTAAGTGACATGTAATATTAAAATGTATTTTCTTCTAAATCTTTGTTTCTTTCATAATGACCTTCCGAAAAGAAAAAGGATAAACTGAGCCGTTTTAAAGGAGCTTATGTAAAGACCGTCAATGTATGAATGCATCGGTGCAATGGTGTTATGTAGCACCTGGTTTTGTACCCTTGTGACCTGGCAGCTCCATCGAGACTTGGCTAGTTTTTTACAAAATGTTTTTGGTGGGATTTCACTTCTTTTTGTAGAAACGTGGGCATATTGATTTATTTTATAAGATTTTCTTATTTGACACAGTTTTTTTCTTTTTAGGAGTAGTCTTTTTATTATTACAATTCTTTCTTTTCTTTTAGACGGTTTAATTTCTGAAAGATCTGCGCGGTATTTACGCCTAAGCCAGTTGTATTCGGTGATTGCTGAAGCTTGAGCTGCTATACTCTTGAAGTCAACATTTATGAGGCACCCCATGAAGATTGGTTACTTGTGAAAGCGTCACGTAGGCTTGGCCACAAGAGAATATGGGGCAATGTCTATGAGGGCATTTTTTAGACTTAGACCTTGGTATCACCGCCACTCTTAGTCTAATGCATTATATTTTGACCAAATTTTGAGCAAAATTAATATTTTAGTGTAATTTTTTTATTTAATTTGTGTAATATTCGAGTAGAATAAAGTTAATCCTTCGACTATTCTTTCTTGTAAACTCGTAAGTATAAAAGTCAGTCTAGTGTTATCCAGAGGTGTGAGACGCTATAGGCTAGATTAAATTAGAAGATGTGTCCCACTACGCTGGATTTTTGCAATGACAGTCGATATTTTTATGTACCAATAGTAGAAGGGGGCATTACCATATCTCTAATACAGCTGAGAGTAGGTGAAGGTTCTTCATCAGATACTTCAGACGGCACAAGCGGCCCACCAAGTTGAATATTTATTGTAAAGGCGGTAATGTCGATCTCTTATAATAGTTTGGTTGGGGTCTTGTGTTTTCTAATCAGGGTCACCAGGTACTCCAGGTCTTCGATTATCCTAGTTTTTATAGTTTTCCCTTTATGTGGCCATTAAACCCTAAGTCTGTTCCAAATTTCAGCTCTCTGAGTTTATGGGAAGTACTAGTTCTATTCTGATGATCATGAGTGAGTGAGTGTCATAAATGCGAAACTTTGCTTTCGCTTAACTTCGGAACTAAATGACCTACAGACTTGAAATTTTGGATTTTAAGTATGTGATTATAGCTTACTGGATGACGAAAATTTCTGCATTCTGGTCTTACCCAGAGGTTCAAATAGGGGCCTGAAAATGCGGCGAAATGGTTCCAGTAAAGGATGGTACGGCAGTGTTTGCTTCGCGCTCGACTTGGCGGGGGCTCTACCGTGCCCCCCGATTTCTAACCTACCTAGCTCCAGTTAGCTTTGTAAGGCTTGTGTTATAGGATACTAAAGTAACGAATAGAAAAACAATTAAATGATTTGATATGAAATATATATGTTGCTCACACAAGAATATTTTTCCAGAAATATACAATAGCAATGACTTAGGTACACTTCATTGTACAAAGATTTTCCCCATCGGGACTCGAATTCTGGACATCTGAGTAGGTGGAATCTTGAAAACCGGTGTATCTACTACCTCCTCAGTCACACCACTGAGATCGTCAATAATGTTACTGCTGAGGTCAGAGGCGGCGTAAGGCGTGGGCGACGTGGGCCACCGCCTACGGCGCGGCGGTACAAGGGGCATCGCGCCTCAAAAATTGTTATGCATTGCTTAAATGCGAATTTCTTTTTTTTATTATTTTATAACCTCGGTCTGCTCGGTATCAGCTGGATGCACTGGACTCGGTGGAACACCGTGCGAAGAGACTCATAGGCAATGACGCTCTCGTTGAGGCTAATCTTCAGAGCCTCGACCACCGAAGACGTGTAGCTTGCCTTTCGGTGTTTTATCGGT